CTACAAAGTAATTTGACGTCGCACAAATGTTTTCACTGATTCTGCTTGCTTAGTCCCATAATATAATCTGTGCAAACGTACACCTAATGGTACAAAGAAGAATGATACTGCACTAAAATTACTGTCTGTTATATTCTTTCTCAATTCCTTTAAAAGTACTTAAGATATGTAGAACTTATCACACCATATCTTACAAGGTCATTGAAAGATATTAAATATTGATTATCTAATTGACTGACTGAAAAAAATTATTATAAACATTTTTTTTTATTAATGTTTATGAAAGAAAAATTAATATTAAATTGTTTAGAACTGGCAGAGCGTTCTTGGGGAACGATACCACAACAAAAACAGTAACCATGTCAATGACCAACGTATCAGATATCATCCGCTGTCCACATATTGACGACAATGTTGTATGAATTAAAAAAGCGTTGTTTTCTCGCAACCTCACACCTGGGAAAAATGTTCTGTTGACCGCCCCTATTCTTGGTTAAATGCTTCCAGAACCGTGGTGCATCTGAACCCATTATTTCACAACTGTTCCTAAACAGTAACAGGGCTAATGTACAACGTTACGATTTACTGCTGTGTATTAAATTAAGATAGTACCGGTGAATCGTGTGTGTTTTCCTGCAGACTTGCCGAAAAACAAACTAAAAATATCAACAATAGGTGGTTAGACTGCCCTCAAAAATGTTAAATTTAATTTTTTTTTGTTAAATACATATTTCATTGGTCAGTAAGTGCATAGAGTATAAGATATAGGCCTACATTATTTATTAAATACACTGTTACTGCTTGACCCAAATATAAACCAAAAGTTTTAGGTGCTTAAAGGACTCATAAAATATAGGGCACCTCCTTAACATAATCCGTAAAGATTTATAGTGGAGAAAATATAGCAAATGTTATTCAGGTGGAAAAAGATGTTAACCTCAGTATCTAGATTTAATATAGTACCTTCAAGAGAAAGTGATTTTATGGAATTCTTGTATTAATTTCAGAATCTTAAATGTACAGCATGTATCATAGCGATTCCTTAAATGTATCACCATGTATTTAAAAAATTTTTTTTTATTGGATTCCACATACTTTATAAGTGGCATTAAAGTATGCGAAGAGCACTTGATCGACAATGATGAATACAAACTCCTTAAGTCGCTGCGATAAGCTGAGTAAACAAATGCGCCTGCAAACCCCTTCAACTGAAGAGTCAAATTATAAAATTATAAGGGGGTGTTTTGGGAATGATTGATTGAAAGGGACAGATACAAGAGGGTGCACTTGAATTTCCGCAAACTTACAACAATGATCCCTTTTAAATCTTATCCAAATTATGGCCAAGTTGATGTTACCAACTGGTACTCACCAAAAGATAAACAATTGATAAAGATGCCATCTGTTTTCTTGGATTTTCACACCTGCAGCTGTGTATACTTAATTAACAGGTAGCCACTAGTATCTCTCCTCATTAATAGGTTATGAATACTGTACTTCTCCTTCAAATTAATGTGTGGGTAGAATCTGAGATACTTCTATAATATTTCCTACCAAAACTTGAACTAAAACATTATTAAGATCGCCAATTGTGATCAAAACATCAGGTTAAATGCCGATGTTATTTTGGTCCAATATAGGCCTATATGAAAGCTTAACATCATTAAAACATTATTGTTTTTAAATCTAATTTCATTCAAAATTATTAACATTCAGATAGATTAATAATACATAACAATAGATATTATAGTGATGATTATATTACGATAATAAAATAGTCTTGCAACAGTGGTTTTAAGAGTACTAAAAAGGGGTTTTATATAAAACTTGTATTTTACTATCATTATTTTTTAAGTGTAATTGTAATGCCCAGCCTGGATATTTCCAATGAAAATGTATTATGATATATGATTTCTAATGTATTATGGCTTCCAATTTATCTATATGGTTCCCCAATTTGACATTGGTTGTTGAAGAACAACTACCAATTCTGATAAAAACAAATTAGCGTGATATAGTTAATATTGATACATTATAAGGAATATGAAAATATTGTATTCCGCCTTGATCTGTATAAATTTTGAAGTGAGTATTTAGAGCAAACTAGATGAAAACCGATGGATTACTATGAAATTGATCAATTAATGTCCTTGACTGTTAGAAAATTGATGACTTTCATATCCCCACTTCCAATATAATGACTTCCTTTCAATTTAATTGACAAAAAACCTTCAAAATAATAATAATCAGCTTTTTAACATATATTTGGAAAGTATTAACATCATTATGATGAACTTTAAATGTTGCTATTAGAAGCAACAACATTTCAGTATTTAGAGGGTGGTGTCCTGCTCTAATAATGCTTGTACTTTTGTAAGTCAATCATTTCGTATTCGCAATAGACCTTTCCGGAGCGTCAATCAAACTTAACAACTGCTAATCAGAACAGCACTAGGAATACGCGCGCGTCACACAAACACACGTGTTGTCCCACAAATGCACATTTGTGGGACATTTGTTGGATATTGTTGCTAAGGGACCCTAGCAACAATATCCAAGGGGCGGGGCTTAGCGGAAAGGTTCAACAGGGAGCTTTCGATTGCACGACAACGGTAGGACGTAGAACATAATGACGTCACTAAAAAACATCTGTGCATGCGAGAACGTTAAGGTCACCTCGTCAAGTAGATTCTGGAACGCAATTTGGCCAAATCTACGTTTGCAGAGAACATAGGATGCCAGGTAGGACGGTCACGCATGAGTGATTCCGTTCTAGCGTCACGTCGTCGCACAAATCGAAAGCTCCCTATTATATGAATACAGATTACCGTAACTCGAGGATACACATACAAATAGCACATTTAACAAGATTAGCTTTAGGCAACATAGGTTTTAGCAAAACTTATTTTATGCCCAAGTACTTGTTATAATGACGATATAAATTATAAAATATGAAATCTTTCAACCTAATGAAAGATGAAAATCAAATAACTAAAGTAATCAAGGTTATTGGTGAAAGTCAATTTCATTTATATTGTCAATGTATTGGCATTATAATAACTATTCCTTGTAAAGGGACCACAAAGTAATCTCGTATGAATAAAGAATATAATAACTATCAATGATATATTAGGGTTATAAAAAATGATGTTTCTCTTAGGCCTACTCCATGCTCTATCTATATAGGCCTGTAGGCATATCTTAAATTGAGATATGTCACACATTTTAAATACGGTACTTCACAACAAGAACACATGGTTGAACGCTAACATAAAAAGTTCAAGTCAAGTGAACAAATTCTGTTTTCTCTAAGCTGCTGGGAACTTGAATATAGCATTCAAGGCTTTGAACTAGTTTCTTTTCTATACTGTAAACTCAGTGTTGTGGAAAACTTAATCAGGTTGATTGAGCTGAATAGTGTCAAGTAATTCATATGGAAAATGTAACAAGATGTACAAGCTACCTGCTAGTAGATGATTGTGAGGTATACCAATCAATCAGTCAATCATTCAATCACTCAGTCAATCAATCAATACTTACAGAAACTGTAGTAGCATTGAACATATTTATATGATACAAAAAATGTATCATATAAATTATTTCATATGATGTATAAACCAGTAGGTTTTACGTTGCTTTATTGTATTTGATTGTGATGTATACCAATCAATCAATCAATCAATCAACCAACACTTACAGAAACTATAGTAGCATTGACAAGATGTATATGATATGAAAAAGTATGCATTGACAAGATGTATATGATATGAAAAAGTACATCATACAATCTGAATGATTTCATATGATGTACAAAAAAGCATTCTTTAAATTTGTTATTTTTTTATTAAAATCGAGTAAATAATTTTCACATTTTTTGTTGTGAGACCATTTTTTTAAAACTTTGTTTTTAACAAGTATAGTTTATGTTGCTTTATTGTATTTGGTGTTGATGTTCTATAGAGTATAAAAATATGTATTTTTGGAATGGGGGAAACACCAGTTTTACTGTGATATTCCTACAGGAAAGCACAGAAGAATGTGAGATTATTTCTAGCATACCACACTGCATGTTGATAGATAGAGTTCCTACACGTTTCAGCAACACGTCCATACACCACTCACCAGATATTATATATATTGTGACGCACGTTTTAGAGTAAATGGCACAATAGTGACTTTAGTTTCTGTCTATGAATTGGTTTATGCTTTTTGCCTTTTTGCATGTCGCAGGTCTTTTGTTGCACAGACAATGCTTTCGGCAAAACGAAAGTATCTCAGCCAACAATTAGCACCTCAGTCTAGGAAGTTGGGGATTTCTCTCAGGTAGAAAATATGAAATTAACATGGTCCCCAGAGGCTGCTAATAGAATAAAAATCACACTGGACAGTGAAGGAACATAATTCGATTCCTGTTGCATACTGTTAGACCTAGGAAACTTTCAACACCTCCTGGTTAATGTATAAGTAAAATGAGTTTTGAGGATAAGGACTTTAAATGGTAGTAATATTTTCACCGCAGCATTAGCGAGTTGACTGCTCTTTAATCCAGCCGTTGACCCACATATCTTTTCTCGGTTTCATTCAACACAATTTGTTGCAAATCTCTATGGATTCGCCGCACTATTTATGTCCATTTTAACATGATCATTTATGCATTTCTGCGTTTTACTTTAAAAACGTACTGCACAAAATTCATTGACATTTAACCTATAAAATAACCGGAATTATGGAATGTTTCCAAATTGGGAGGTGTTATCACCGTGGAAATTCATGTTTTCATTTACATACTTAATATGTTTCTTTTAGACTGGATTTTTAAATTTGAAACTCATCTGTGAGGCCAACAATGTGACTCATCATATTTTATTTTGAGAGTGCTTCGTTGTATTTTCAACTTGTTTTATTTTTTATTTTTAACGTGTTAGAATGTCGTTTGATTATTTTCATCGTGCGTTTGTTTTCTTTATTGTTAACTTGTATTTTTTTATGTAATACTGTAGCTTGCAACTGTAACCTCCACGCAAGGAAATGTCGTTTCAACATGGAACTTTACAAGCTTTCTGGACGTAAAAGTGGAGGGGTGTGTTTAAATTGTCGGCACAACACAGCCGGACGTTACTGCCACTATTGTAAGGAAGGATACTATCGCGATATAACACAAGAAATAACGCATAGAAAAGCATGCACAGGTAAGCTCGCCATGGTTGGTTTTTTGATGTTTCTGGAAAAGGTAACTAACAAACTAATAAATAAATTGCATCTACTAATTTGAATGATGAACCTGGAATGAAAAAGGAATGTCTCACGTACGATTGAACAAATTTAGAACCTGATGCATGCACCAACTAACTCATTTACGCAAGTTTCGGTTTCAACTTCAAGCTGCATTATACGCTGTTACAAAAACCTGGCGATATTGTACGCACTGTGTTTAATTATAATGTACTGGTTATCGTTCTTAAAGTAGCATAAAAAAATAGCTCTGTCATAATGGAGAATTGCTATGTCACACTTGATCATAGCCTCGTAGATCCATACAGTACGCGCCATCTGTCGTGGCAAATTTCCACCACAATTGCTGAGGCGGAAGTCCCATGATGCTCGGTCAAGGTACATTGTTCTGTCCCACCTTTACCGTTGGAGGATAATTTGAACATCCCCACGGGAAAATGGAGCTGTCCCTAACAATTAACCATTACAATGCAAATTTGACACATCAATATTTGATTGGCCAGAAGTTTGTTCTTCGCTTTAAATTTCGCAAAGAATTATTTTAAGGAAGCAAAAACAGGAAGCAAGAAATTAGTGCCACAAAGGAAACATGCTTTCGGATCCCAAAGGCTTAGCCCTGTTAATATCGTGTGAGTTGAGCTTTTAGAGTACCTTGCGAAACATGGCAGCGATTGTTGTGCACCATGAAAACATATGTAGCAATGAATGATATGCTAATGAGGTAAAACACTCATAACAAATCTGACACTGCAAATTAATACAGTTGATATTAATGAAAATACTAATAATGACCATTATAATAAAAAAAATAACAAAATGATAATATACATATTGTTAATAATATATTATTCTACAAATTCATGTTATATAACATTCAATTCAATACCAAACCAAAACATTGTATTAATTTCTAGCATCTATATAGCAATTTCCTCACATAAACATCTCTAAACACTTATTATCATTGCTCTGGCCATTTGGAACAATAACAATCAAAATTTAAGTGCAAATCACCTTTGTTCCTTGGAGAGTATTCCTTAACATGCATACAAATTCACCATAAACCAATACATTCAACATACAATATTCACATAATTTCAGATAGAAATTTACAATAAATGATAGGGGGAGACAAACAGTGAAAAGTGCATTTGCCTAGGGACATAATTGAATAGTCAGTCTATGAATATTTTATTACTTAATTCATTTTTCAAGATTCAATAAAAATCACAGCCGATACATTAATTTAATTTACAATTAATTTAATTTAAAAGATAATAAAAACCAAACTTTCAATTTTAAAAAATGTAAAAAATTGCTGTTAGATATTACACCACTATTTTTATTGCAATATTTTAAACTTTAAAATCTGCTTCATTTAATTCATCAATTTAATTTTTTTTCCCCTTTTCCATTTCAATCTGTTTTTAATTTCCACTTCTCACAATTACTCACAATGGAGTTCTTTTTTATAAATTTTGTAATATATGTTCATCTTTGGTATTTGCACGGAGAAATTTCAGGATGCTAACAAATTCTACAACTTCCTGATAAGCCCATCCAGAGAGTTTTAAATTTCCGCACCACGCTTTAGAGCTGATAGGGGTTAACACTCACACAAGACAAATGCACGGTCTCACCAGATATCTCTTTGCATACCGTAAATGCTCGAATAGAGCGCCGCAGCGCTTATAAAATTTCGAAGCCTTCACTGAACCGCTTATTCGAGAGCGGCGCTTATAACAAAACATATTGGCTTGGCGCTTTCCATGCTCTTTCCCATGTTACCTATCTCACGTAATCCAGTACTTCAGCAGGCCACGTCATCGTAAATGAACATTTATAAAGAAATGCTTTTGTCTTCATTGTGTTATTTTTTCATTTTAACTCTGTATTCCTCGTATTTAAAACCCTGTTTCTCAAAGTGATTCATTACACATAGGGCAATAATATACTCTTGTTTAAGTGCCGCGATGCTTATTTCAGAGTGACGCTTCGCGAAAAGAATCAGGTTTGGTGCTGCGCTTATTTAAGAGCAGCGGTTATTCGAGAATTTACGGTAGGCCTCATAAAGCAACATCTTTGAACCAAAAGAAAACCATAGCTGTTATATCTGACATTACTAAAATAAAAAAATAATACTGGTAATAATAATAAAATTAATAATAATAAAAAATAACTATAATAGTGAAATATATAGCTCCATATAACTAAAGGGTGCAAGCCACTATGGAAGAATAAAAAAAAACCAGTTGGAACAGATTGGTTTTAAAAGCGGTCGGAATGAAAATATGCTGACAAATTTAACGACTATCGATAACCAACTACAAATGTGAAACATTTGTTTATGTTATATATATATCAATATATGGATGTGTAAATGTAATGGTATTGGTTTTTGGTTTGTTTCCTTCTGTACCCAACATTTGCTTGGTGTATGATGCATTTTGTAGCCTGTGTATGGTGTTGTTCTGTATGTTATATTAATGTCTGTGTACAAAAGTTGGTTACAGTTTCAATATTACGTTTTGTATTGATGTATCATTCTTTTGGTGGAGGTTTTAATTGGTTTTTATTCCTCTTGTTTTTAACCATCTGTATTTGGTACTATCTGGTTGGGTGTTTCTGGGCATTTTTCTATATAGACTTATATAATCATTATATTATAGATTATCTCATTATATGTTTCCATAAATGTGTTAGTTCAGACTAACTTTTTACTTTTGGTGGATGAGTCCCTTTGATTTTCATATACATTATACTGCACAGGTCTCTGCCAAAAATATTATTATTATAATGTTATATTATTGTTGTTAATTGCATTAAGAGGTAAAGAAATTTAGCTTTTATCATCATTATCGTTACTTCAAACATATATTCTTCATATGTTACTGAACCAGTTTGAATGATAGTGATGGTATTGAAGATGAAGATAATGATGATGAACAAATAAATACAGTAAATAGATGACACAATGTTTGAGTATCATCTAGTTGTGATTGGTGTCTACAGATAAAATCAAAATAAAGAGGCCTCGTCCCTCAAATAGACTGTTCTAGGCCTACATTTAGGCTGATGAAATATAAAAACCGTAATTAAATTGAAATATGTAAAATCAGTGAAAGTAATATCATGACTTCTAAGAAGTCAAGATTGCTTGCATGAAACGATGTTAGATATCACAGTAACGATCTTGTGTGTGGCATTCACGTCCTAATAAACTGAGCTGTCTCCTACACAGTCTATTAGGGATGGAATTAAACGGTTTCATAATTCGCTGTGATGGCGAATACGAGCCAGTGTAACCAACTGTGATATCACTGATACCCTGTGTGGGGCAATTGGATTCCAGCGTGGGTCGAGACTTCTTGGTTTATCTCTTAGAGTTCTAGAACCTTGTCTAACCTAATTTCTTAAGAGGATGTAAATATCTTTTTATTTAGTACATAATAACATTTTAATCGATTTTGACCTCTTCCACATGTTTTTAATTATGGTACACTTCAAACTCTTCATCGATTATTATGCCTATCTATTCACTTATATAAAATAAAAATGAAATTTAATTTAGTGTAGAGTAAGTATCTACTAAACTGGAATGATTGTAAATACAATTATGAATATTTTAAATAAAATAAAACAAAAGTGACTAAATAGAGAAAATATTACTCAATATTTCATCAAGTAATGTTTCCTCACCTTCTCTATTTGGAGTCACTTTTGTTTTACTTTATTTGAACATAGTCAGTACACCTTTTGGTTTTTATTAATATTTTGTTTAAACAATTTAAATATTTTTTCATTGCATTTTCAATTTCTATAAAGAAATTTTCTAATTTGTGATAATCAGTCAAAATACTGTACATCAAATTTGACATCAGTTTGATCACCATAAATGTATATATTATGGTAGATAAATTAATATAACCATGGAGGAAAGAAACATGATCCTCCATGGTATGACCATAACTTGGTCTGTTTATCTGTAGTGAGATACATTCAGCACTTCAAGCCATTCTATATTCTAAGTTACGAATACAAGTAGCAAAGAGTAATAAGGGAGTACGGTGAAATTCCCAAGCACCATCCTGCCCTCTTAGAAATCCTTCCAAAATTTAGAAATAAATGAATACTCAAGGTTTGCTAAAATGGAGTGGATTTTTTAATAGGTACGGTAGTTGTGGAGATATCTCTCCTGTAGTTTTAGGTGAGTGTTCTTAGGAAGGATGAAAATGAACTAAATCTGTTTTTAATTATCACGACAAAAGCTTTCCTTCATAATTGGCTTACTCATGTCGCTTCTTCTAAATAGTCATTGTTGATCAAAACCCCTAAGCAGGTATAAGATTTACAGATGCCAAAAAATAGAAGGAAATGTCCAAATCAGCCCCAGACGAAGAAGCTCTGACCAGGTGAGGCAATTGTTAATTGGCCGCAGGGGTGAAAAAGGTTACTGTCCAGTCAACAACATATATACGTTAAAACAAAAGACCAGCATTAATGGTCGGATGAGGTTAATACGCCACCAGTCAGAATTAATTTACGTCACCTTCGATATGAACTTTTGCTGAGTAATGAAAATTCTACATTTATCAGTAAAATTAGCTGCTTATAGGTTGATATTTACAGAGCTTATGTATAATGATATATATATTTTTTCCCCAAGGAGCTTGAAATACTTTTACAATGTTTAAAATAAAGCTTTAATTGAATAATTTGATACCATATTCATGGATTTTTGACAAGTAGGTACCATTTTACCAGTCAAAATTTATAGGGTAAGTGTCTGTTACTTAGCCATGAACTAGCCTGAAGTTTAACAAAATTCCAAACATACAACACCAATTTTCAATTGTCCTTGTACTTGGTGCACAACATTTTTTTGGCCTTATCAATATCTTAATGTTACACTAATTAGCAAACGATATCAAAATAACCACAGAACTTGATTTTAGAC